AATAATAATAACAATGATAATAATAATAATAATATCTGAAATTTAGTATTGCAAGATCTATCTTCTTCTAGGAATTTGGGAACAGAAATTATCTGGTATTTACATATCCAAATATTGTATTCATTACCTATTAATCATTTTTTAGATAATTAATGATTACCTTTTTTAAGCTTTATTTTTATTCGGCTGATAACATTTGTTAATAGCTTCTTTTTAATTGACAGAAAGATTAAGTGAAGGTAAATGTTGTCATTGTTACTTGCAGCCATTTACACTAGCAATTCCGTGCTTGGCAAAGAATGTTACTGAGAATGACGATTTACAATTATTATTATCATTATTATTATTATAGAATACTATTTTATAGAATATAGAATACCTGCAATATCAATAAAATTTATTATTGTTGTCATACAGCTACCACTTTTGTTATTATTTTTTTATACTCAACGGAAGCTTAGAGTATTAAAATTGTAATATTATAGATATGAAAGAACCACTGATGAAAACATCTACTGATCGAGAAGGACGATTTGTAATTTCTGGAAGTTTAAAAACTGATACATTTGATCCGTCTCTTCGAATAAACCATAAATGTCGATCCAAGGTTGCATCTAAAATTAATAGACTGTGCGAAATTCAGTCAAATTAAACATAATAGTTTAAGAGCTGTAAAGTTTTTATTTAAAAAAAAAAATTTAATCATAGAAACTTGCAGATTTGTACAAGAAAAGTGGTCCTTCCTATTCCTAGCAAATACCGAAATGAGGGAACGGTTGTTCGCGAGTTTTACGATCTCGGTATTATTGATATGAAAAGAAAGTTTGTTACTGAAAGTAAGATGTGTCCAACTTGAAGCTTTTAAGCAAATAGAAATTAGTTGTATTTTATCTTTTTAGCGCAATCAAGTTTAGCAATGTACCAAAAAAGTAATGAAATAAAAACATACTACTTTTTGTACTGGGAGTTTTTTCGCAGAACATTACATGTCCTTTCAGTGTTTGCATTTTAGAATTTTCAATATATAGAAATGAAACATTCCTTTTTTAACATTAAATGATTTACGGAAGTAAACGATTGAGTTCTATCTCATATGAAAATTTAAGTTTCTCAAAAATTAGTTGAAGCATAAGTTAGTCTGGTTCGATCTTGCTAAAGTATATGTTACTGATTCACATAGATAGGTTGTTAATTTAATTATAATTCTATATCAACAGCACCATCATTTATTACATCTGTAATTATTATTATATGCATGAACATATTGTAATTGATAATGACAACATTGTTTCATTATATATCAATTGCCGCGATTATTTGTGCAAGGTTCTTCATTATTAAGCCATTACTGGTACTAAAATATAAATCAAAAACATGCCATATATATATTGAGCGAGAAATTAAAATAAAATAATAAAAAAGAATAAATAAAAATTAAGTGATAAACACATTTCTCATTTTACTATAATTAACTTTTTGTTTTCTTAAAAACTTGAAATTTTGATTGCTGCTGAATCTGAATGCATTAAAATTCAAACAATGTCAATTTGTCTTATATACATACATAAATCATAGTATAGTACAAGTTAAGAGAGGTGAATTAAATTAAATATGAACTCAATTTAGATTGCTTCTATTAACTTGTTTTTCTGTACTAAAAGGAAATTAAAGACTTATAAACCGAAGTATAAAAAGGAAGGAAGGTAAGTTTTCATTGTAATTCGATCTCAGCTAATCGTTGTTCTTGTTGACGTTGTGCATCGTTTTTAGGCATAAATAATAATGCAACAAGCAATGCGGAAGCAAATAATAGTAGCATAATAATTATAATAGTCACTTTCTGGTTTTGTTTCTCTGTAATAAATATAAATAGTTTTTCGAAATTTTATCATTCATTAATTAATTAAATTTATTAATATAATAGTGTTTTTTTTGCAGTTGAATGATCTTCAATCTCATTTTAGTTTTCGTTATTTTTTATTCGTAATTTCTTACTTATCTATTTATTTGATCAGTAATTTGCAGTAATATATTCAATAATATGCAATACCTTAAGTTATAGGTATTCCCCTTCCACTTATTTAATTTAAATGTATTACAGATTTTTTAATTTTTTGAAGCTCGAAATTTGTATCTTTTGACTTATTCTACTTTTTACTTATTAC